CTTCCTTCAACCACCCAACCTCTTGCTGTAGGCGCAGATACCTGAAGTTAGAACTTATCCCAGAGATGCAGAAGCTAACCGACCCACTGCCAAAGACTCCAGAACTGAAAGATCCCATCTTATGCCCCTTCTAGGCCAGTACTCCACTTTCTTCCCAATCCATGTCCCAGATCTTGATGGCATCCCTCACGCTTGTTGCGTAACTCTTAGCGTGCCGACACCACCCCTCAAAGCCTGCTTGCGGCAGGTGAGGAGGAAGGACGTGCAGGGGAGTAATTTCCATCACCCAGTTCTTCAGCAGCAAGCCCCAAGGTAGGAGCAGTCTACTGGCATTTTCTAATTATGCTAACAACCCATAAACCGTGGTGGCAGGGAGGCTATGCCTACCAGAGAGAGCACGGCGCACCACGGAGATGCCTGAGCCACCACCAAAGGCAGTAGCTAGCCTCAGTACCAGAATCACTATCATTAGCATTCCTACCAGAGAGAGCACGGCGCACCACGGAGATGCCTGAGCCACCACCAAAGGCAGTAGCTAGCCTCAGTACCAGAATCACTATCATTAGCATAGTACTCCACCTAAGCTAATAAATGCTATTTCACTGGAAGGCTAATTAGCCAAAAAACTGCTCTTCTAAGGTATACTGCTTCCCATATGCAAGACAGTTCACTAGAGCTCACTTGGGTACCGCTGCTGAGCATCGCTCTGTGCAATACAGACACGTCCCCAGTGCCCATCTATAGCTTTGGGCTCTTGTGGATTCAAGTCTCTCCTTGCTTGTTGACATCCGTATTTCTCCAGCACAGCAAAGCTGTTGCATAGCATTAGGCTTACAGAGGAAGGGGGAACCTCTTAGTTATCTAAACAGAGGTCTGAAATTCAGCCCCACAAGCCTGGCCCAAGTAATGCAATTTTTTTTTTTTTTTTTTTATTTCTCCAAAACAGGCTCCCACACATGTGACGGTCGCATTTCTGTACAAGAGATACTGTCAGCATCTTTTAAGAACTTCTGCTTTAGTCAGGAACTCCCTTGACTGGCCCTAAAGTACTCTCTAAATTGGCAAATTCTGCCTCTTTTACACTATAACTAAAAAAATATAAAATCAAATGGTTGAAAATGTCCTGTTAACTGTACTAACTGTATAACTGTAGTTGTAAAATCAAATGAAGACACAAGTCTAAAATCTTTAATTCTACTTCAAAATGTGTAAAGCAGATAGTACAAGATACTCGCTAAGAAATTTCTCTTAAAAGAAGCTATTTTTATTTTCTGCTGTAATCCTCATCCTCTCATGTTTCTTTTATATTATTCCACCTTAGTCCAATGTGCATTTTGAGCTCTTAGGAACGCTGTTTCATTCTTGCTTATAAAAACATCTTCCTTTCTATCACATTGTGATAATAATATACTACAATCAGAGGAACAGTAATAATAACCAAAATCTGTATTACAGTTTTCATTGAAATGAATTCCAAGGAGTACCTAGTCTGACCCTGCTTTGCCGACTGCCACAGACAGTATGGATGCAGATGAGCCAAGAAAATTCATACAAAATATCAACAAAGACCAGAGGTGTTCCAGCGAGGTCTGCTGGCATATGGAGATGTGAGTACCAAAGAGAACATCAGTAGAAATGGGATTTCCTTCCTAGAGAGTAGTTTTCCAGTGCAAAAGCAGAAACATTGTATCAAAATACTCTATGGATTGTATAGAAAAGAAAATCCAGAAATTTAGGATTTTATTTACATTACAGTAGAAAATATACCAAACTTAAGCCAATGACAATGTAATTACAATGCACTTAATTCACTGTGTTAGAAACCCCCAGTCTGATACACAGCACATATGGCAAAGACGATCAGACATCCCTTGCAATAGTTTTGCACTATGAAGCGACAGCCTTAACTTGGGAGTTTTATTTGTCTCTAAGCCTAGGTGTACTCTGAGATGTATTTCTACATAATGCACTTCATCGGAATGTATCAAGAGGAGAATTCCAAGGAAGAAATGATAGAGGATGAGTATATACAGAGTAGCTGTGGCACCACAGGATGCACTATGGAAGCTAGTCATTGTCAGAACCAGAAAACAGGAGGATTAGGTCAGTAAATTTCTTATTCTGCTAAATCCTCAAATCCTTTCATCTGTTCTCATTGCCAGATAAGGACCACAGTCTGGTGGTTTGCTCTCAGAACACCAATATGTGCCCTTACGACAAGTATTTATTAAAAAGAATAATCTTTATAAAAAAGAATCGATAACTTTCTCTCAAAAGTAGAAAAGCAGTGATCAGGTGCTCATCTGAAATATTTAAATACACTTTACACGTGTATAATGGTACCTCAAATAGTATTCACAATTTTCTCCTAGGGTATCCTTCATCGTTATACCTTCACTCTTAAGCAATAATCTACGACACGGCCTGTGCTAGTTTGTGGAACCATCACCTACAGTAATTACATTAAAAGGTAGATACGTTACAGGATTAACTCATGTGACATGCTCCTTTATTACACTGGTTTTGGTCAAGGGTCAGATAAATTTTATTTTGCCCTACAATTGCAGTATTAATCTAAAATAATCTTAAAAAGATCACCATCACATGCATGACGATGATTTCTCAGGTCACCCCTCTCCTAAATCCAAATGAAGCTTATGTTTAGGACACGAACACACGCTGAGACATTCACACGCAAAATAAAAGAGGTCAAAGGAAAAAAAAAGTCACCCTGGTTATTTTGCTTTCAGAATTTTTAAATATTTTCCCAACATCTCAGCAAAATTATGCATTTTAAAAAGACTGCAGGCACTGAAATGATTGTCAGTCATGCAAATAATCACTTACTTACACTGTATGAGTTTGGTTTGGATAAAGCAAATTACCATTTGAAAATAACTTGAAAAACACTCTGGGCTAAGAGCTTGCTTTATAAATTTTAGCTTGGCCACATTTTTTCTTAACCTTCTTCTCCTCGATCTCCATTCCGTCACTATACTAGTGCAGTCTAAATTTAAAAACAGCATTCCATCGCCAAAGGTGCATTCAACATTATTTAAAACATGATCTTGTAAAGAAATAGTAAATATTGGCCAAATCTGAAGGTCAAAACCCAGCAAACTTCAGAGTTGTGCAGAAGTCCTTTCTTCTGCTTTTTTTCCTGTGATGATATTGGGCTTTGTCTAAAAAAAAGCCCAGATCTTGCACCTAGAGTTAGTTGTTGACTAAAATATACATTAGAAACAGTAGAGCTAATATTGATCCACGTTTCTAACTACTCTGTTGTGAAAGTTTTATAGTCACACAGTTGTTTAAGAACACATTAATTTTGTCCATCACTGCTGCAAAGAGCTTTTTGATATAATTTCAAGTGCAATAACTGCAACAAAAAAGTAAAAGGTGTCCTGCTTTGTGCGATGAGATTTAATACAAGAGCAGGACATTAAGAAGAGCAGACAGTAAGACGTGAGATCTTCCTACTTCACCAGTTTGGGTAGCAGTCTAATGATTTTACCCACTTAATCACCTTCTGCTTTGGACAAACCATCACTGTGTGTATGACTGCAGACTAATTTGTCAGGTCTCGTTTGACCCCATCTGCCAGGGCTGACAAGTCCAAAGAGCTGACTTAATATATGTGAGGCAGGGTTATCACAACTTCATCTCCAAAACTAGGCTTGGTCAACATGACCTCCTAAAGGCATGCCAAAACCATGAGACCCTTTTAAAACGGCTCAATATCAAACGTGCTGAGCATCCACAGCATTCCTGTACTCCTGAAAAAACATGATCTCTATGAAGATGCTCAAAGATATATAGGTACTGACCGCCACTCCCATCCAGGCAGCCAAGTCCCTAAGGAACACCGGAGGATTTTAACCCACTTGCCAAAAACATAGATTTAAAGACTTCCAACATTGATTTCTAAAGAAGTTGCATCAGTGCTTGAGAATATAAAGTCTTCCAAGATACTGAAATGCAAACCATGCAGCGTGAACATTAATAGAGTGCCCGACCTCAGCTCCTGTACTAAAAATCTCTCTACCCTCAACTATCACAAATGCATATTTAGCCTTTGAAACAACTGTAAGTACAAGCTGGTCAGGGACAAACATCTCAAGTGTGGCCAGACTTTACTTTCAGATCAAAAGCCATACTCTTGCAGAGTCATTACGGTGCTTTCCATCCTTATTTCAGCAAAAAAAACGTACCCAGCATTGTGCTGGTTTTAAGAGTATAATCAAATTGCAGAATCATACTCTATTTAGTGCCGGTCCCATTGAAGCAAAGTTCCTGTTCGGTGGGAGGAGAGTCCCTTATAACAGGAAAAACAATTGTGCCAGGTTTAATCAAAAGTGAGAAGGATCTAGCGAATGTTCCCTTTGAGCCACATAACCCACCGCTAATTTCAAGACGGGCTCTGAAACGAGGGTAATAAAAAGCGTCCTTCAGAGCAACCGAGGCAGACTGAAGAGCAGCTACCGCTGCCGCTAATGCCAACATCTGCAAGTCTGCTCCCTGCCACTGGGATGCTTTTCGCCTACCTGGAAAGCAATAAAAGAAGAGGTAGGGGAGGGAGGAGGGAATAAAATCCCACCGCAGCACACCGAGGGAAATATAGCTTCTTGACTACAGGCTTATCACTTTTACTGTTCTCCAGCATTTCTTTCTCCTCCTTGACCTCCCCTGTACAAATATATACCGAGCTGAGGAGCAGGCAACTCCTTAAAGACAAAAACAAGTGGGAAATAACTAAAACAAGTGGGAAATCACTCATCCTGAACGATGCAAGTTTGTACGACGCGCACTAAGGACGGGCTCGGCAGATCAGACACTGCCTGAATAGCCTCTGATTATTGAAATACATTTATCAATCAGGGGATTTTGCATATGACCAAACTCTTTCATTAACGATGCTTTAGCTGATTAGTTAGAACGTCACCATAAATAGAGAATTTTGACAGGCTGGAGGCAATTTATGACGTGGAAAATGTACTGACCTGCTCACATCAGGAAACCTGACTGGAAAATAAAGAACTTGGCACTTCGGTCTGATTATTTTTTCCAAATCCTTAGGTCTGTGGTCAGGAATCAGCTTCATAAATTTTCCAATGGATGTAAGAAACGATTCCATATTAAAAGCAGAGTTGAACACCACAACATCAGCAACCAAACTGTAAAAAGTGGTTAAGATTAATGAACATACTGCTGCCGCAAAAGGAACAGAATTATTTTACATGCAGTGGAAATAGGATACATATTCTCATAAACAAACAAAAGGTGCAAGTGGAAGGCTAATTAAAATCAGCCTTTTCATGTGAATTGGGAGTCGTATTTTCACCTTAATCAGAAATGTCTTGATTTCTGTCTCTTCACACTTTGAAGTATTTTTTAGCTTTTTAAAACTAAGTAATAAATTACTATTATTAATCTAAAGAAGCACATCCTGTTCTATCTGTGGATTACTTTTTATTAATAAAATCATAAGAATAGTATTACTGTCATTACCTCTTTAAAGCATTATAAACAGGTAAGGTCCACTGTAATAGGACTTTTGTAGAAGCAAACTTTGAAGAAAATGAAACGTCCTTAGAAATAACCATTTGTACTGAAGGACAACTTACCTTTGGTTAACCTACCTCCAACTGACCGTGTGCATTAGGTAGCAGGATACTAAAGGAATGGAATGTTATTTTAACCTATGTGTACATAATCCTGATTTTAATCATATATTCACCAAATATATATATATGTATGTATGTATAAAATAATACATGGCACACTACCAAAAAAGTAGTTTGAAATAATTTGGCATGTTAATGCAGTGTTGTGTTCTTTACTGTTGTGTTTTAAAATCAACCGGACAAATACTTTTAAGTCATAGTTGAATGATAATGTAAGTATTATTTCCCCACTTAAGAGTCAGCCCAGAGAAAACGAAAAGCTATCAAAAAAACCTGAAATGTCTGGAAGTTTATCGTGGAAGTGCTGACACAATCTTAGCTACACTGGCAAACATGCAATGCTAACGGAGGTAAGAAATGCTTTATGGCCGGTTGGTTTTCTCAATATGTTATATATTGTAATACAGACCTATGGGTCATAAGATACATTGAGGACACATGTTCATAAGTCACCAGGCTGGTGAAAAGTATATTTGAGGTGAGAGGCTGTCATTCATCCTCACTGCTGTCTGGTCAAGAAACAGAACTGACACTCCTCACCAAAGCAGCAGGAGTCAGCAGGAAAAGCAAAAAAAAAAAAAAAAAAAATAAAAATTAAAACAACAACAACAAAAAAACAACATTAGAGAGAGAAATAATCCTTTTCAAGCATGCTGTGGGAGCTGAAATGCTTTCTGGAATCCCACCCTCCTCCTCACCTATGGTTTTTAACCCATTGGTCTCCTCAGTTTTGTACAAACGATCCAGTCACCTTTTCTGCACTGATTTACAGATGACCCGAGTCAACGCAGGAGCCCGGCACGCTCCTCTGCTGCTCTCTGACATGTAGCAAAGGCTCCAACACCACCACCTCTGCCTCTCTTGGGCGTGAAGTCTTACCCGCCCAACTTTTCCTTCAGGCTCCGCGTATCACTGGCAAATTGGAAAGATCCCTTCACCATCACTGCCCAAACATCTAAGAGGGATTTTAGCCATCGTTGAAAAATGTAATTTTATTACATTAACTCCCTAGAAACATCAGGGAGAAAAAAAAATTCTCTTTCTTAATGATGCAAAGCACCAACCTGAAGATTCAAAGTGCTCTAATTTTAATTGTCTCCAAAACCCCTATGCAAAACTGGAAAGGCACATTTTCCCATTTCTAACAGATTTGGAAGACAACATTCCTTTGCAGATCACCACTTGGTAGTTACAAACAGTACAGAGGAGATGGCTTCTATCTGCTGTTAAAAATGGGATTTCTGCAGCAACAGAAACAGAAGATGAATATTATATAGTTACATGGAGAAGCTATGGGAGGCTGAAGGAGACAGAATGGAGCATCTATAATAGTCTTTTTTTTTTTTCTTCCTAATAAAAGAAGATATTTTTACTATTTTGAAAATGAATATTCTGAGGATAAATGTTTGTCATCTTACACTAGATGGGTGAAAAAGAACTGCCATAATAAAGCAAAATAATACACACAAAATATCCCTTGCCCCAGTCCCAAAACCCATATCTTTTTGTTATAACATCTGAAAATGGCTGCTACTGTTTTCAACAGATCTTTCACTATACTTCCCCAACTTTACTGCTCAGGAAGCGAAACATGTTGCAAATGCTATTGCAGAAGCAGCTACACAATGGCCAGCGTATACACAGATCATTATTTGAGAAATTTCAATATCATCTGGCTTATATATTACAAAGATGCAAAAGCTTAACTTGCATCTTAAAATGCTCGATCCCTATTCCTAATAATTCTACTGACAGACACGTGAGAAAGATCATGGAAATTAATTTATTTCAGTTCAAAACAACTGAGTTTTGCTGTTTCACTTAGGACTGTACAGTGCCTAAGCACAAAGCTTTTTCAGTGTTGCTGTTATTATCTTCTTTCATTAACTCAGATTCGAGAAATACATTTGTTTTTAGCAACAATAAAGGACCGCGGCCTTTAAAACGTCTGGGTATTTTAGCACTGCACAATTTCTGAATACTCGATGAAAGAAATATAAGGATTTATCTGGTATGTTTACTGCCCTCTCTTCACAAGAAAAGTGTTGCAGTACATTTTAATTTCTGTTTACTTCCCTAAAACCCTCTATATAATTTCAGTTGGATGCAGTAAAAGCTACGGCCAAGCAAGAGCTGACTAGCTGCAGCTTTGCGAAGCATCCATGAACCAAAGCATCTCGCTTACGGCCAAGACCCCGGTCAAAATCCCCACCACTAACGGCTACAACCACGGTAGCCCAATGCAGCATCGGTGGAGTTTAGACAAGAAACTGAGATGAGTTTATAGAGCAGATTGTTTCTGCCACAGCAGTTTTATCAACCTCTCTTCAGGACTCTGCTGGTACCTCGGTTTGCTGCAGGGTCCTCATCTGTAGACAGAAGGACACTCAGTAACATGGAGTGGTGCAAAAAAAAAAAAAAAATAAAAAAACAAAAAAAACCCACCAACACCTACCATGAAAGAATCTGGTTGTATCCATACTGAAAATCCCTTTCCTGGCATTTCTGGACAGGATATGCCAATTGGTTCTCATGGAAGTAGAGGACCTTTTTCAATTTGCCAAGGTCAGGGCGGAGGGCAGCGAGTTCAGCCAGGTTCAGCACTGAGCTTGCAAAGAGGATCCTGGAAAACAAGGAGAGCAGTGTTTACTGTCTGTGAGCATGCTCGCAGGGGTCACCCCTTCCCCTTCTCCCCCCGCACCCCCCAAGAAAAACATAACCCCTATAGGGACACATCAATAGCTAAGCCTTAATACCATGTAGCAGCATTCGAAGTTTTGATCTCTTAAAAAGCAGCTGCTAAGAACCCAACTAGAAAAGCACCGAATCTCATTGGTCTTCCCAGCTCGGTTACAGAGAGATGCAAAATAAAAAAAGCTGGATGGATTTTATTGAAAAAGGCAAGAAAAGCTGTATCTGAAGGACAAATGGAACAAAGATAAGGCTGACTAGGGAATACTTTGCTTGCCAGTTTCATTACACTTTACTTCTTTATGCAACCGACTACTGAAATTCAATATATGAGCAGGAATGGCACATGTTCGTGTTATGACATAAACCCTTTTGATTTATGCAGCACACTTATCTAGTATGGTCTGCTTTTCTTTTATTTCTTTTTTCACCCTTTTTTTGTTTTATTTTCACATTTTTATTAGGTATCCTCTATAAGTGAAATGTTGTTTCCACCCTTGCACCCCAGTACTGCCGTAGCACTCCTGCTATTCCACAGCCTACAACACCGCACACATCCTGCAATTATATAAAGCAGGCACAAACGGCACTAACAAGCTGCTATCTTATCCTTGTAAAACTTACCAGGCTATCAGAAAATTAGTGTATTTAAATGTGTAATACCAAATTGTGTCCCTACTGTAACCAGTGGCAGATTTCCCTGCATGGGAGCAACTCCTGTCCCCTGGCTAACGCTGCTTTCAAGCAACCTGAATCCTGAACCTACAGACACTTGTGTTATACCTTTCTCATCATAAGGTATAAAAAAAAAAAAAGAAATTGAGATCAGGTATTTATTCCACATAAAACATTAAGCTTTAATAAACTACTTTTCAACATAGCACGTTTCTGACTTTCTTTTTTGGGTATTCACCATTTAGTGGTTCTGATTCAGAATTGATTTACACAGTTCTTTTAAAATCTTTCATATTTTTATTCCTTTTCTTCCTATTCTTTATCCTATTTTATTCCCATTCTTCCTATTTTAACAAGGATTTTGTGTACCAAATTACTGCCAAACCGACAGCATTAATATTATAAACTTCTGATTCTGGCTGTCAACCTTAAAACTTGTGAACTTCCCCAAACATCCATATATATCATATTATCACCTACGCTAACATACACTGTTCTTAGATAATCTGTATCTACAGAACAAAGACTTCCTGGGGAACAGATCCTGTATCCATCTTCATCAACCTGAGTCAATGCTAATCTGAAAGGCTTACGAAAGTAAGAGATGAATGTTATTGCCTTGTTCATCAAATATTTGATCGTTCTAAGGGGACTGTCAAACAGAATGCCAATTAAGATACGAGCTCAGGTTTATTATGAGCCATACCAAGAGGAAAAAAAGTAGTTTTACGTAAGTCATCATTTATTTGTCATGAAGAGTAATAACCTCTGGACCTCATAATGACCTGGGTGCCAGACTCAAAGCAGAGGCAGGAAAGCTTCCTACGGGCAATGCAATAGCCCTGCTCAGAGACTGCTGCGAGTTTAGCACTAGAGTGACAAAGAAAAATACAAACAGGAGAAAACCTACCCCCCCGACATTACAAAAAAAAAAGAGGTGAAATGGCTGCCTGGCAAAGTTTTGGCTATTTCTGGATAGTAATATAGTTTATCCTTTCCTTCACCGATTTGTCAGAAAATCTCTCTGCAATGAATTAGGAAGAAAACTGAATTGATGCGGGATGGTATCTATGAACTCGGCTGTGTTTGAAGGAAGAGAGGAAAAAAAGAGATGGCACGTTGGGATTGAAAACACAGGAAGTAGCGCAGAGAAATGTGCAAAAGCAAGAGTGGAAAGAGAAGACGGTGGGGGTGCCAAGGTTAACATGATGACTGGAGAGAAAAGGGCAACGGGCAGCACGCTGAGAGATGAGATCCGAGATTTAAACTCGGACAAAACCATGTAGCTCTGAAATATCTGAACTCACTCAGATGGACAAAGAAATAACTAGGAGAAAAATATGAAAAAAAAAAAAAAGATGGTTACATCCATAGGAAAGGAAAGCAGTGTTTGCAGACTTAAGACAAACCAAAGGAATTCAACAGCATCATTAGAGAGCGCTGGAGGCTCGCTTCTAGTAAGGCAACAGAGGCTGAAAACTTGGAAAACCTGCAAGAGGAAGAGGTAGACCCAAATTTTTTCCACTGTAAGTGGGAAGTGATAAGACTCAACTAACAAGCAGATCGCTTATCACTGCCCAGCTCATCAATAAACTGGTGTCAAGAGAAAACTGTTGTGATTACTAGCAAATTCAGATTTAGAGCCTGAAATGACACTGATTACGTTTCTTAGAGCAAGAAAAAAATAAAAATGAAACCATTTAAGTGGTAGTATTATTAGAAAACACTCTTCCTGATTCACTCTCATGACTTCACAGCATTTCCAGAATTTAACTCAACAAATATGAGATGCTCTTAGCCTTGTTTCTTTACTGGCATAAAAGCTGACGACTACCAGCGATAACCAGTTTCTCGGGCATTATAAGCTTAAATAACACCTGAGAGCACGAGTCCCCACGAACATGCCCACAGAGCCCCCGCGTAGGTGGCTAATGGACTCACACAGGGCACTGGAGGATATGCTGGAGTGTATTTCCACTTAACACCTATTACAAGGGGAAGAAAGGAAAGTTCATTATAATGTAACGTACGACAAATATATGTCAGTTGTCATTCCGTGTGACATCAACTTTCATTTTACCTCGGGTTATTATTTAAGTATTAAATCCTAACAAGGTGAGCTTTATCATCCCACAGAGTGTATCTGGGAGGTAGAGACACAAGGTGATGGCAAGAACGCTCGAAACATGATAATTCCTGACAGCTGCTGCTTGAGCACAAGTTAAATTGAACAGTTTATCTCAGCATAAAGATGTTATAAGGTTTTATGTTTAATTTAAAAAAATTAACATAAAACCCAGAGAAAGAAGAGTTAGGCAATCTTTCACAAACATGACATACTACAATCACTGTATAAGCTGGATTAGTACTTATTACCATGCTACTAGAGAATTAAGCTGTTTTTAGACCACCAAAGAGCTTTAAATTGCAACTTTTGTCTCTGTAAGAGAAACCTATATTTAAAACGTCTGCTAAATTCAAATTAACAGCTACATCATTAACTTACCATCTCACAAAACCCCCTACATTTCAACTGCTATTATGGTATTCCTATCTAGACCTATCAACGCTACAACATATAATATATACAGTACTCTTCAACAAATATATTGTGCGAATCTTCACAAAACCTGTGCTGAAGATCACATTTCTAAGGCGGCTGCCCTACCTCTCCTCTCCAAAATATCCCCAAGTATTTTACCGTGTTATAAACGTCCTTCTTCCATCAAGCAGGACCATCACACATGCAGGAGCCCCACTGCCTTGGAGGCTGGCCAAATTTCAGGGCCACCATCCACACAAGCTCTGGTCTTACACTAAGCTTGTGCTTAACCCGAATCACTTAATAGTCCTTCTGACTTGGGAGGAACTACTTGTGTGAATTAAGTTAAGCGTGTGCTTAATTCACACAAATATTCATGGGAAGGAAGCTGAGCGTGCTTGCAGGTTCAGAGCCACTGTGTGTCCAGAGAACACTTTGTCCTTTGCTATCGTCTTCCCCATTGTTTTACACCAAAGGGCTGAAAATCAGTAAAATGTAGAAGCCTTTACTTTTTTTTTTTTTAATTATCAGCAGACTAAATGACTAATACAGGTTTCCATATATATCAAGCAAATTATAAAAGTAAAGGTGCTAAAGTGATTTTATTATGCTTTATAAATCTTCTTTGTGTCATGTAACCGTGATTTACTCCTTTACAGGATTGCCCTAAATCTTTCAATTAAAAACCCATGCAACTTAACTAAAACCACATTTTGCCTTCTCCTTGGGAGACCACACAGGGCATATTTATGGATCTATGGATATGGAGGCTGAACTCTTCAATTCACCAGGCTTACAGCACAAAGCGAGTTTAAAACAGCACCTGATTTGTACTGGAATATTCCCTCTGTCTGGCAGGAGCTCTGCCAGCAGGAAGGACTGATGGACATGGCTGGTGTTTGCATCACAACACAGGTAACACAGCTCTTCTCCCTGGAAAAGGAGGATTACTGTAGGGCACGATCCCACAGCTGCAACAGGGACGCTCCTGCACTGCAAATGAAATCCAAGGCCATAAATCTCTGCTGCAAAACAACTAGATTCACAGTAAAATGAGTTTATGATTGTAGATCTGGCAGCCTAGAAAAGAGTTATGAGCACTCCTCATTCACCAGGTGCAGTATTATGATAAAACAGAGTTAGATTTGGATATCGCTATAAATATAAGCTTTTTGGGGGAATACAGCTACTAAAAAAAGGCTGTTCATTAGATGGCACTGACTGAGTTGACATTCATCCAGCCTTCAGCAGGGGAGCATGGTGCTCGTAGAAGTGGGTTTTGCACCAATCTACAACTAAAATCTTGAGCACTTGGAGGCATCAAATCCCACCTTACTTCTGACAAGTCATTGACCGCTTTGTTCTTGCCAAGCCCCAAATCATACTGTAGCTAGAAGTACATTTGTTTTTCTTGAAATTTCAATTGGCAGGCCTAACGTCATACAGCAGAGTTTTAAACCCTCAGATTTTTACCCCAAATACGTTGGGTTTGTTTTTTTTTTTTTTTCTGGGTATGGTTCTTGTGCACTCAGCAGAGCGAAGTCAGGGTGCTACCGGAGACCACCCAGGCACTATGATCCAACAAAACATCATCAATAACCATAAAACACAGAACGCAGTTGCGCCACTGCTGATGGCTACTTTTTCTCCAGTTGATCAGAAACCAACCAAAATTTCATAGCAAGTAACAGGAGTCGTTAGTTTAACCATTCACA